AGGATTTTCGTCTTACATTTTGCTCAAAAATATGTTATTAAAATTTCGGTCACGAATTGCGGTACACCCTGTATATATTATGTAAATCAAATACGATACGTATTTTGTTTCGTCCGAAATTCATTATCGGAATATGACTGTCAAATCGAGATTTTACTGTATCTATTTGAAAATACTTTATGCTGTCAGTTTAAATTTGTAAAAAAGATCGTTATTATATGGGGGAAAAAAAGAAAAAGACTATTCAAATTATTTAGATGTTTAATGAGATTGTTGGAAAAAAAACGAGAGTAATAAAGGGACACGGTTAAGGAGAAGTAATTTTTAATAATATTTGTCCCACTATTAATATGCTGAAATCTTTCCCATACATATTTTATGTCCTGATATCCATTAATAGAAGGCGAACGGAGTCCCAAGTTTCCGATTATCTATTATTTACGGAATTCTACCTGGAATATATCCTGAATAGCCTTAAAAGAATTTCCCGACCGACCGATGGGTCAACGGACGGCTTAACCAATGACCTGAGTTTTTCCCGCCACTATACCTGGGCCTTTTTCCTCTATTTACCAGACATACAGATGTTCGCATTTGGCGAGGCATTTTCGTGGAATGTTTTGTCTGCTTAGGACGAGGCAGGACAAGGCACGTCTACTACACGCAAACGAATCACAGAAACGATTCACAAAAACGATTCACAAAAAGTACAAACATTTTCGTGGATTGTAAATCTGTATTTATCTGATCTAAATGTAAATTTCTCCCCCTCTCTCTCTTGCTACCTCGCGATTTCTATCTTTATACATGTGTGTCGTGAACTCCAGAGGAGCAGAATTAAAAAAATTGTAAACTTTTAACGTAAATTTTTTAACCGTCGAATTGTCAAATTTAAATTCAATGTATATTTATGTACGTTTTACGTATATTTGTGAATAAGATTAATTGTGAGATTAACTAACATCTTCCCAATGAACACCCTAAGGTCAATAAAAAGTCACAATAACTTTATTTTGACTCAAAACAGCCACGCAATTTTTAAGTGAAGGCGAAAAATTGACTCCGACATAGCAACATATGCAATTCAGTGAACGGAAAGATGACTTTGCGTTCGTAATGCAAATTAGCTAGCTTTTTATTTCTTATTATTTTTGTATACTTGATAAATGAGTTCTTTATATTTTTCAGTTGTAATACAAAAATTTATGTACTTTTCAGTTGGTTTCACTTTTGCGTTTATCAAAACTATTTTTTTGCGCTTTCTGTTAAACGTAAACAAGTTTCTTCTTTGCATATAAAAATGTAATATTAGTTTACATGTTATAGTCTGCGCTATGCTCTTGCAAACAGGCTGGAAATATTAATGTTTAATAGTTGTACTGTAAATACTGTGCAAAGAAAGTGCAATTTAAAAAAGAAAGCTTTATATATATATATATATAAATTTTATATTTTGAAAAATATATAAAAGTATTATGTTTTCAACCTTTCTATAATGTTACAGTAAACAAATCTGCCATATTAGATCCCTATTGTACTAGCATTTTCTTAACGTCAACAAACAGTCAAATTTTATAACCAAAAATCATTATATTGACTTTTTCTGCCGTGTAATTATAACATCAAAATGACATCACTTTGACTACGTCTTCCTTGGGTTGCATTAGCTCGAGAATTGGCCTTATTCTTATAACTTTAACGAGCACTTTCCTTAATTTATTTACACTCGTTTACAGAAGCGTTTAACTTTGCAGTTGATTCCCGCTTACCTTATTTTCTAAGCTTCCTATATTGGTACGATTACCGAGCACAGGGAAATCGGTCAACGCACGCTCGGTAGCTGTCCCCTGGGTGTCCCTGTAGAATCTGATTTGCGGAGACATCTTGTCCGAATCAATGGCAGTAATACCGATCTGCCTGTTGTTGATCAAAGAGCGCAGCAGATTAGTCGCTTCGCCGGTGAATCCATTGTTCAATTTATCACCATTTGTTCGCGTAATTTCCAAGCTTCTATTGCTGCGTTAACAAAATATAAACGAACGCGTGTAATTGTGCAACTTTAACACTGTGCCGACTTGCGAATGTCCGCTGGATCGTAATACTACCAGTTTAATTTGCAATCGCAAACTGCAGTCTTTATTAGCGAGACGGTTATTAAAGGCGATACTCGATCACAATTTTATCGCCAGATTTGACAAAATAATTTGCAACGCAAGCAGTTAATTGGATAGCGTATGGCACGACTTGTTTGCCATAATCTGAATAACAAGAACAAATTTGTTATAAAAATAGCGACGGCTTTACAGAATTTACTTCGATAAGCAGCGATAAAAGTGAAGTAATTAAATTTCATCGTTTACATAACTAGTCATTTTATACACAACGTGGGAACATGACACTGTAATCACACAATGCAACATGTTAAAAGTGGAGATTAAAAACAAACATTTTTTTAAATAAGGTAATTTCTTACCTTAAATAAAAAGTCGATATTTTGGGGGAAAAAATTGTCTTTTTAGCAATTGTGAAAAATAGATTGAATTTTTTATGTTTATTTGTGAAGTTTCATGAAGCTCAAGAAAACTCTCAGGCGTAATTAATCTGTTACTTTTCTTATTATGCGAAAATACCATAGAACATTGAACAATAAACTGGCGCTGACTTGTCAAAATTGTATTTCAATAAACGAAACTAGATGTCTGCTATAAATTTAGGAAACTGAACACACCCGAGAGTAATCAATGGGATAAAAACCCCCATTTTTAGGGAGTAAGAAACACCTTTTTTTCACCCAAAGTTTGTTTTTCCACCACTTGTTTAACTTTCGGTTAAAAGTGTAGCCACAATAGCGAATTAGTATTACACAGTAATGCTCTCGTGTTATTGACTCTGAAAATGAAGTACACAATGTCGCCTATCTTATCTGTAAGGCTCACATGGGATGCACTTGTGCACCTTAGCTACCGACTGGGATATCGGGCGAACAAATATTTGCCGGACAAACGACAACTGGTCGGGCTTACTTACTTGGCTAGAGCCTGCCACAGCTTCGTCGTTTCCTGATCGATGTTGGTGTCGGAGCAATTGCTCTCCGGCGTGTCCATTCTATTAACCGGACTGCAATTCGCCGTGTTGGACTCGGAGCCGTCGTAGTTGCTGTCGACCCGAATCCTCTTGCTGACGGTCATGTCGTAACCGTTCTCCTCGCCTTCCATCTCCTGCTCGTCGCGATCTTCAATCTCCAGTCGCTCAGGATCGGAGCTGTTGGAACTGCTGTCATCGTCTGGCTCGCACTTAATATTATCGTGTTCTCGCATATTGCTGCTTTGCAACTCCAGATGATGCGTTTGTGTTTGAGGTATTACGTTTTGATTAATGCTGGCCGGCTCGGAGTTAGGCTCCTCCTTGAACAACATCCTGCTCAATTCGAGGAACGATTGCAGAGGGCTCTCGCCCGCTACTTTGGCAGTGGAGAAAGACTCTTTCTAAAGGTAACAGAGAGAGAAAAGGCGTGTGTACATGTCCCTCTTCTCCCTTCCCCAGGATCTTACACTCGAGACCGTCGTGAATTTAAATGTACCGATGTATTGGCTAAAGAGCATCCAAAGACAGTCTTGAACGTAACATCTGATTACGAATATCTAAGCTAGTACATTCAGAACCGTCTTAAGTGCGATCTTAAGACACTGTGAACCATTCATAGTCCGTTCTTATTTCAACATCATCTTAATCTCTACATTTGCAACATGAAAATTGTACTTAAGATCTTAAATATAAAAGCGGGCCGTGAATACCGACCACAGAGCAGCATTAAGTACTCTAAATTTTCTCGAGTGGAATCTCGCTCTTTTGGAGATGTGTTTGATCAATTTACACAGAATTTCTATCTCAACTGTTAACGAACGTTAGAAAAAAGATCTTTCTGTGACGTCCACCCGTTACAACGTTTGATTACGTTCCTTGCAAAGATCGTTCTAGCTGCGGTACTGAAATACATATTTATCCAACGCGAACGATCAATATTTAGCCACGAAACCTAAATTTCTCAGGCGGTATTGCTAGGAAGTTGCCGCTGTGAATTTTGTAGAAAAGCAGATGTACAAAGTAGCGATAGATCTTGGTTGCGACGCCTAGAGATCAATTTGCACAGAATTTCTATCTCAACTGTTAACGAATGTTAGAAAGAAAGTCTTTCTGTGACGTCCACCCGTTACAACGTTTGATTACGTTCCTTGCAAAGATTGTTCTAGCTGCGGATAATCAATATTTAGCCACGAAACCTAAATTTCTCAGGCAGTATTGCTAGAAAGTTGCTGCTGTAAATTTTGTTGAAAATTAATGTACAAAGTAGCGATAGATCTTGGTTGCAACGCCCAGAAACCCACCTGTGTCGGTGGGATATTTTTCTGAGTGTAAGATTGCACTTAAGGTGATCTTAAATGTAAGAACGGACTGCGAACACAGTCCTCGGATGCAAATTCCATGTGAATCTACTAAACAACGGAACGGCGGGCCAATTGATTACTTTTTATCTCAAATGTACACATCGAATACCTGCTCGTCATGGGACGACAGTTGCTTGGTACAATCCAGGTACTGTTTGAGTATGACATCAGACTTTTGCGACAGTTCGCGAAAGTTGTCCAGCATGCTCAGCTTGCATGCACACTGCTGGCAGATAACCGGCGGTAGGGAATCATCGTCTTTTACCTATTGAGAACACACACACAATCACGTAACAAGAGCCAGTGCGCTTCGAGTTCGCCACACATTTGCCGCGTTACTGGAAAATCATCGGTTTTCAGTTGCTCGCGCGTGAATTCAATGCGCTAATTGACGAGCCCAATACCCTCGTTGCTCTATAATCAGCCATTGTGTCACTGATATTAAAAACTATTGCAGAGTCTCAGTGATTCACTTTCTGGAAAACCTTGGCTCTCCGGGATCGCGCGTCACAGTTGCGGCAAATGAGCGGCGGCGTTAAATAAATTTCCGCAACAAGATCCAGCGGTAAAATCGAGAGCAATTGCAGTAGAAGCCGTCAGTTCGATCTCCAGCAAACACTCGATAACCGACGACCTCGCGGTAAAAATAGCGTGTCCGCGGGACTTTATTTAAATAAAAAATTTACCAATGACAAAATGGGACCGACGTGCGGTCCTCGGGGCAACGTTCCACCTAGTAAAATGTCGAGAGCGCGCGCGTCTTTGGTTCTCGCTTATGTAAGAATCGCGGGACAGGAGGACGCGCTGTCTACCGCGATAAAGGCCCTCGAGGCCTGGCGAAATAGAATCGAGCGAGCCCGTGCGCGGCCGTCGCCGAACGGCGCGAGTAACGGCCGATCGTCGGGGAATGGACGCGCCTCCGGTAATTTAAAAGAACGAGGTGGGCCGATAAGCGAGCGGCGCGCGGTGCGTGACAACGGAATACGCGTGTGAAACATGATAACAGGCCGCCCAAATAAGGAGCCGCGGCCTTCCCTCCTCCCCCCCCTTTACGGCTCGCGCGGCTCGCCGTAGTTCCGCTCGCTACGCTCGCGCGCGGTGCTTATCACTGCCATTTTAAATGCCGTTGCTGCTCCTCGTCGGCTTATCTCGCGGACACATCTCTTGCCAAACTTTCTCTCGTGGCACGCGCACATGCATACGCACGTACACAGAGGCACGCGCGCGCGCACACGCGCACACACAGACACGCGTCCGCGCGGTGACGCGGTCGCCCGAGTGCGCGAGTGCGAGCGCGATTGCGGGAACGCGCGCGCTAGAGAGAAACGGCGAGAGTAAGGAGCGACTCCGAGTCTCGCGGCAGGGCGCGCGAGAGCGCCTCTAAAAGCCGAGCGAGTTGAGGGTGAGAGAGAGAGGAGGAAGAGAGAGAGAGAGAGAGGGCGATAGCACGGCGACGATGAGAACGACGCAGACGGAGAGACGCATACACTCGGCCGCGGCGAGATACCACAGATGGTCGCGTCCGATAAAATGCAGATAGCCGCGGCCTATCTCACCGTGATTGACAGGTACGCCGATATCTTCTCGGCGAAATTCTGCTGGGCGCCCCCCTCCTCGAATATGGAATACTTGACACCGTCGTCGAGGGATAAACAAAGGCGACACAGCTCGTAGAACTTCTGCGGTATATCGAACATAATTGCGAGCTCCGGCTTGCCTGCGGCCCACGTAAAGCGCGAGTCATCAAGAGGTGTGCTCTAATAGCGGCCGACGTGCGATCTTTCTCCACTGCCACTGCTCGCGTTCAGCGATCAGGATGGGTTTATACGGATCACTTATCACAGTCACCGCCGCGGCTCATTGTCAGCGGCACAGTACACGCACCGCCATGAATCGCATCGTACGAAGAGGGGGAAGCTTCCTGAAAAACGCGCCGGCGGCTGGGGACTCGAGGCCCTATGCTCGTATCACACCGGCGACTCGCGACTGCGATTGCATCGGCGATCACGATTGGCTATCTCAAATTTTCATGGCCGCCTAGCCAATCGCAGTCGCTGATGTAATCGCAATCGCGAGTCGCTAGTCTGGGGTCCGATTCTCGAAATCATTCGAAGAAGAAACGTATACGAACATTCTGCTGTGACAGAAAAGTTGAAAGTCGATTGGTTAAAGCCATGCGAATAGCCAATCAACTTGCAACTTTTCTGGGGTTCGATTCTTGAATTTATTCGAAGGAGAAACGTATGCGAAAATTCTGCTCTTACAGAAAAGTTGCAAGTTGATTGGGTACTTGCATGGCTTTAACCAAGAGATTTTCAACTTTTCTGTCAGAGCAGAGTTTTCGTATACGTTTCTCCTTCGAATATATTCAAGAATCGAGCCCCTGATACGGGCGTTAGGGTGCCGTCCCATGGCGCGTATCGCGATACGCGCGTATCAGGCGTATCGAACTCTACGACCAATCACAGACAATCCGCTGTTTTTCGTACGCCGGAGTTTGGCCCCTACTGTCCCATGGAGCGGATTACGCGGAAGCGGACCAGCGGATCGCCAATCACGGAATCTTTCTGATAGAGCCCTTTCAAGATTCCGTTGAAACGGATCCGTGGATTGGCGATCCGCTGGTTACGCTTCCGCTTAATACGCTCCACGGGACAGTA